AGATGATCCAGAACCTTACACAAGTGGGGTTATAACCACAACTGACAAAATGCCAACATTATCCAACTCCTCTTCGTTGTCAGAGTGATTTTTTGTGATTTGTGTATTTTTTTACGTATGTATGTATTAAAATACATCTGTAAGTTTATATGTAATGTTTCCAACCCTCAAAGACAAATAAAGATGCGATTTATAAGGATACCGTAATAAAAGGCAATAATAATGGAAACTAAAGAAAAAAATGCGACATTTGACTTATGTCAGAACTGACTTATGACAGAGTTGTTGGAATGGAACCCCGTTGTAAGTCAGGGACTACTTGTATGTATATGGAATCCCTGAGTTGTGCATCTGGTTAACATACTCAGCTGCTAACTGAAAGGCTGGAGGTTCAAGTGCACTCAGAGGTGCTGTGAAAGAAAGGCCTGGCAATCTGCTTCTGAAAATTCAACCACTGAAAACCATAAGGAGCACAGTCCTACTTGGACACACATGGGGTTGCCATTGAGTTGGAACCAACTCAATGGCACCTGGAAAAAAATTATATATAGTTGTTGTTGTTAGTTGTCATCAAGTCAAGAGTAAAAGTAACTGCTCCATAGGGTTTTCAAAGCTGTGATATTTCAGGAGCAGACGGCCAGGACTGTCTTCCAGGGTGCCTCTGTGTGGGTGTGAACCACCAACCTTTTGACTAGCAGTCCAGTGCTTAACCATTTGCGCCACTCAGGCAGATATATGTATGTATGTACGTGTGTATGTATAATTTTTTTTTGTTTCATTTTCTTTTCACAACCAGCCTCTCAGATAATATTATTCCCATGTGACAATGAGGAATCTGGGAGGCTGAGAAGTTAAGAACCGTTCTTTCCTAAATCTCACAGCTAATGAGTGGAGCGTCAGGGTTCAGACACTCTACCCTGCTGCCTCCTGGGAGAACAGGTTATGGTCCTGGTCTCTGCTTCTCCCCTTTTCTCTCTCCTTAACCCCTTGTGATCTGACTTCTCTGCCTCATCCCTGAGAAGTTGCTTTCTTTAAGGTTAATCACCTCCTAATGATCAAATCTATTCTAGCATACCTTATTTTTAACAGCAAATTTTAATTCCTTGTTTTAACATGATTTTGTTTTAAACCGCTAACTCTATTAATGGTTCTTAATCCTGGCTGCATCTGGATCAGGCATGAAGATTTTAAAAATTTACATATATGTTTTTTAAACAGGTAAATACATCACCATGGTTTGCTATTTTGGAGGAACCAGCTCTGCCTGTGTTCTTTATCTTAATCGATGGTAACAGCGGCATCCTGTCCGTCACCCAAACTGGAAGGCTGAGTCATCTGTGTCTCCTTCACCACCACCCCTCCCCACTCCACAGTCACCACCGTCTGTTGATGACTTTTTTGAACTCCTTCTCAAATCTGTGCTCCTTCTGCTCACACTGGAACTGCCTTGGTTGAGCCTTCTTTCTCTCTCATGGGGCAGAAGGGGAAATGCAAGGACTTTAGAGTCAAATAGCCTGAGTTTGCATGCTGGCTGCTCCAGTCATTAATGGTGTAGTTTGGGGTTAGCTACTTAACCTCTCCGTACTTTAGTTTCCTCACTTGCAAAATGAAAATAGTTACACACTTCATGGGGCTATTGTGAGGATTTCTAGAGGAACTTTGTAAAATAAAAACCACTCTACAGAGGACATTCAAATGGCCACCAAACACATGAAAATGCTCAACATTATTAGCCATCAGAGAGATGCAAACTGAAACCAGAATGAAATACCATTTAACTCCCACAAGGATGGTGTCTTCCTTAGCTAGTGCTGCTATAACAGAAATATCACAAGTGAGTGGTATTGACAAAAATAAATTTATTTTCTCACAGTTAGGAGGCTAAAAGTCCCAACTCAGGGTGCTGGCTCTAGGGGAAGGCTTTCTCTGTCAGCTCTGGGGGAAGGTCCTTATCTCTTTAAGCTTCTGCTCCTCGATAATCTCCATGTGGTTTGGCATCCATCTTCCCCATCTCTGCTTACTTGCTTCATTGCTTGCTCAGTCTACTCTTTTTATATCTCAAAAGAGATTGACTTAAAACACATCCTATACTAATACTACCTCATTAGCATAACAAAGAAAACCCATTCCCAAACGGGATTATAACCAAGGTATACAGGTTAGGATTATACAATACATATTTTTGTGGGACACAATTAGATTCATAACAGATGGCTAAGATTAAAAAAAAGAAGAAGAAAGAAAATAAATGCTGGCAAGGATGTGGAGAAATTGGAATCCTTGTTCATTGCCAGTGGGAATGCAAAATGGTATAGCTGTTGTGGAAGACAGTGTGGTGATTCCTCAAAAAACTAAAAGTAGAACTACCATATGACCCAGCAATTGCACTGTTAGCAATATACCCAAGGGACTTGAAAGCAGTGATGTGAAGAGACATATGTACACCAACGTTCATTGCAGCATTAGTCACAATAGCCAAAAGGTGAAAACAACCTAAATGCCCATCAATGGATGAATGGATAAACAAAATGTGGTACATACATACAATAGAATACTACTCAGACAGTATCAAAGTCTTGATACTTGCTACAACATGGATGGAGCTTGAAAACATTATGCTGAGTGAAATAAGTCAATCACAAAAGGACAAATATTGTATGATCTCACTTTATGTATTTACCTGTTCTTGTCCTTTTATATGAGACCGAAGTTTAATAGTGGTTACCAGGGGTGGGAGGGAGCGGGCAGGGGAGATTATTGCTTATGGAGCACTAAGTTTGTTTACGGTGATGGAAAAATTACATTGATTAAAGGTAGGGCTGTACAGTTGATTAATGTAATTGATGTAGGTTGTACCTTGTAAAAAGTTGAAGTGGCAAAAGTTGTGTGATAAATGTATTTACAACAAGACAAAAAAAAAAAAAAGAGTAGTTGCTGAAGCTGCTTATGTACAACCAAAAATTTCACGGGATTTGGTTTCTTGGTTTGGAGGTTTAGGATCACGGTGTCATGGGACATCCCAGTTAATTGGCCTAATATTGTGTTTAGTGCTTCTGCTCTGTCTCCTAGTATGTTTCATAGTGCCTGGGGTCTTAAAACTTGCAAGTGGCCATCCAAAGCACAACAGTTGGTCTCTATTTGCCTGGAACAAGAGAGGAAGAAAGAGAGTCATGAATAGAAGGAAGAAATGGAATGTGTGGCTAATAACCTCCATGCTCAAATGCCTCCTTTGCCATGGGACCAGAAGAACTGGATGGTGATCAAAGACTCTATAGAAGAATTCTGATCAAAATAGGGAAAATTCAGAATAGAATTTCAAATTATCATGGACTCCAGACTTTCTGGAGCCATAGAGGCTGGATGACCCCTGAAACTACTGCCCTAAAATAATCTTTAAACCTTATACCAAAAATATCCCCTGAAGTCTTCTTAAAACCAAACAACAGTTTAGCTTAACTAGTAAAGAATATCTGTCTTGAGCATTGTGCTCTTTTAAGAACTATCTATATGGGATCAAACTGACAACAGCAACTCGAAAGATTAGATAGGATCCTTTAGGGGCAGTGAGTTTATGTTAATGGGGGAGGAACAACTCAGAATAGGAGGGTAAGAATGGTTGCACAACTTGAATGTAATCAATGTCACTGAATTGCACATGTGGAAATTGTTGAAGCTGATGTATGTTTGGCTGTGTATATTCTCAACAACAAAAAATAAATTATAAAAAAAAAAAACCTCAACAAATAAAAATATTTGTAACCAGGATTCATTTCTTTCCTTAGGTCCCAATATAGTATCACATAAAAAAGAAAACAAACCCAAACTCAAAAGTTTTAAACAATAAATGCAAGCTTTTACTAAAGTCTCTCTGTTTTTGTTTTAGCAGACCTGCTTCTACTACCCCTTCTTCTAGTATCTCTAATTGTCTACTGTGGCACCACCCCCTCCTTCACTCTCAGTTCCTGCTCTGTATCTCTGCCTGCAGGGGTGAAGTACATGACTCACATCACATTCCCCTAGTCATGTGACTAGTTCAGGAATGGACATGTGACTGAATCAGAGCCAATGAGACTTAAAGAGACTTTTTCTGGGACTGTTGGAAGAGGCATGCTTTCTTTTTCTACTGGACTTGAGATTTAAGCTCTGCCCATCTGGGCTCTTGTCATGTTAGAGAAGAAAACCAACACAGCAGAAGACAGAGTCAAAAGACACTGAACTCTGACCACGTTGCTTGAGATCCTGTATCAAGCTGTACTTGAATCAAGATAATCATGCTATCTGATAAGTGTTTTAGTTACACGGGCCACAAATTCCCTTTTTTTCTTTAGACACTTTACTTATGTTTTCTGTTTCTTGTGACCAAAAGAATTTTCTACCTGATTCAAGTGAACTACCAGCAAAGCTGGGGGAGGCAAAAATAAATACATAAACCCACTGCTGTCAAGTCGATTCTGACTCATAACGACCCTATAGGACAGAGTAGAACAAGCCAAGCACACGTTCTAAAAATTCTTATCACATTTCTTTTTCCCCACAGTCTCATATAGCACCATTACTACTTTCAATCTCTCTTTTGTCTACTGATCCCAACAAAATATTCTAGTCCTCTCTGACTAACTACCCTCCCAATCGACCAACGCTCTTTCTTACATAATTCTGTTTAAATCTCACACATCTTCCAAATCTCCCATACATCTGTTACACCAGTAAGCACAAAAAGGGGCCCTGGGCTTAGCACTACAAATACTGAGTTTTCGTTAGACAGCAGGGGCAAGTGAAAGGCTGAGGACATGGGGATTTTGGTATTTTTGCCCCTCTTGTCTTAGTAAATTCTAACTGAAACTAAGTTACGTGAGCACCAGAAAAAGACCGGTGGTTGCGGGGGATCAAGGGGAGGCGAGAAGGATAAATAGGTTAATGGTGGTGGAATGATTTGGAAAAGGATTGCGAGAATGGTCGCACAACTTGAAGAATGTAATCAGTGTCACTGAATTGTACATGTAGAAATTGTTGAGATGGTGTATGTTTTGTTATACATATTTTCACCACAACAAAATTTTTAAAAAGACAGAAAGACCCTATTTTCCCAAACAAAATCACAATCACAACGTATCTATTTGGAGAACACAACTCAATCCATACCAGTCTCTTTATATTTCCTCCATGTTTCTGTCCTCTGGGAAATAGAGGGTTTATTGAACCTCTTGCTTCAACCTGAATTCTGGTATAACAAGAGTAACATTTCTGAAATATATTAATGGGCTTTCCTCTTTTGCATCTTCACATGCATTGTCTTTTCTCTACTCAGCCAGAGCCATACATCTGTCTGGGGCTCCTAGGTGGGGAGAAGGAAGAAAGGATTTTTCAACAATTGTGTAAAGAGAAAAAAAGACCCAGTATTCAGTCTCTGACATGCAAAAATATGAATTTTGGAGTCTGCAGCAACCCACAATAGAACCTGAAAACCAGACGTTGTCAAGGGAAAAGGATTTTCTAAATGGCTTTATGTTCTTTAACAATCAAGAAACAGATCAGGTGACCTCGGGTCTGGGAAGCTCAATTTCTTCCACACCACAGGGAGAATGTGGCTCTGACTTTTCCCCTAGGACATGAGGCTTCCTGCCTAAGGGGAAAGGACCCGGAGAAAGTGAAAATCCCAAAGGCCACCCCGAGCCTGCCACTGGTGAGTGTTCAATAGCTGTTTGTCCATCTGCACTGAAAACACTCAGAGGTGAGGGCACAATGAGGAGCCTTTCCCATCCTGGTACCGTTAGCATTTGGGTTAAATTTCCCCTAACTGAAGTGTGAATTCAATAAATCAGAAGAACTCAAGACAGATAATTCACCCAGAAGCTCAGCTCCGTACTCGGAAATAGAAAAATGGGTCAAATTCATGACCACTTTGTACGCATAGTGTGTATTTGTTTCTGGTCGTTTTTGCTGCAGCTCTGACCCAACTCAATGATAATATTCTGAAGAAATACACCTTATTTCTTTTCCAGAGCCGCATCTGTGATATGGAAAATGAGGCCAGAAGGTCACTGTGTTGTACCCCAATACTGAAAGAGTGCCGAGCATGGACCAAACTAGCCCTCTGGGCCCAGTTACCTCGACCAGCAAGACCCCAGTAGCTTCAAGCAGGCTGACTGCTCCCAGCTCCCTCTACACAAGAGACTAGTGTGAACTTGTGTCTTCAGAAGTTTTACTGGACGCACAAAGGAGTATCAATAACATAAATCCATTACAACTAAAGTACCTTTCTGGATGGAAGGGAAAAAACTTCAGAATAACAGGATAATCGACTAGATGAAAAGATCAGATTAGGAAAATGGGTCAAATCAACTCAAAATAAATGATGAAGCCAGTGTTATTCATTTAAAATATTTGTTGAGCGCCTACTATGTACTATATGCCAGGATAAAAGATGTACTCAGTCAGGCTCCTAATTGCCCCAGCCACCCCGTCCCCACACAGGGCTGCTGAATACATACAGCAGAGTACAGGCAGCTCAGTGTGCACTGCACAGATCTAGGGGGCGCCATTCACACTGGCTACCATGTGAAATCAAAAGAAAATCAAGAAATAAACGACGTATTGCATTGGACAAATCTGCTGCAAAAGACTTCTTTAAAGTGCTAAAAAGCAAAGATGTCACTTTGATGACTAAGGTTTGCCTCACCCAAGCCATGGTATTTTCAATTGCCTCATACGCCTGTGAAAGCTGGTCAATAAAAATGGAAGAGCAAAGAAGACACATTTGAATTGTGGTGTTGGCGAAGAATATTGAATGTACCATGGACTGCCAGAAGAATGAAGAAATCTGTCTTGGAGGAAGTACAGCCAGAATGCTCCTGAGAAGTGCGGATGGCTACACTTTGTCTCGCTTAATTTGGACATGTTATCAGGAGGGACCAGTCCCTGGAGAAGGACATCATGCTTGGTAAAGTAGAGGGTCAGAGAAAAAGAGGAAGACTCTCAATGACATGGACTGACACAGTGGCTGAAACAATGGGCTCAAGCAAAAACAACGATGTGAGGATGGCGCAGGACTCAGCAATATTTTGTTCTGTCACAGGGTAGCTCAGAATAGGAGCCAATTCAAAAGCACCCAACAACAGAACCATGTTAATGGTGCTCCTTGAAGTCTGCAACACTGTGGCCCTGCCAAATAAAAACCCAGACTGGTTGCCATAGAGTCTATTCCGACTCATAGCAACCCCATGTGTCACAGAGTAGAACTGCTCCATAGGGTTTTATTGACTGTAATCTTTTCAGAAGCAGATCGCCAGGCCTTTCTTCCGAGGCACTGCTGGGTGGGTCTGACCTGCCTATCTTTAGGTAAGTAGTCTAGTGCAAACCATCTGTGCCACCCAGAGGCATCCATGTTCCTGTTGGTGGCAGATCTGAAAAGAAACGATTATATGTAACAGGTGCAGGAATAAAGGTATGTGCAAGGGGTCATGGGAACCTGGTCAAATAATAAAATAGCTCTATCCATCCTACTTGACCCACTGCTTCCCCCAAGCTGAGGAAGCAGCAGGCCCAGGGTTCAGATGCCTCTGGCATTCCGCATGCCGCATTCTTGTGCGTCAGGAAGCGCTTTTGGAAAGCAGTTACTACTAGATCAGAGAGTGGTTTCTTGGCGCCCAGGCCCACCAAGCACAGATCGTGGGCAGTAGCGAGGCAGCAGGTGTGGCGCTGACCTTAGATGCTCCCCATCCCATGGAGCAGGTGACATGAATCCACAAGGGTTGATTCTCCCTTTGGCTCTTTCTTCCCAGGAAGCTGCAACTGACTGGCAAGAGTTAAACAGTAAAACCAAAAGGTGGTGCAAAAACAAATTTTTAATCCCTTTTGTGATTTCTCCTTGTTTCCTAGAGAAGAAACCTCAGTGCCAAGTTCATCAGAGCTTTACGAGCATCTCTATTCTTGCCAAAGGGACTAAGAACGACACGTGGCTTCAGCTGCCTTGGTTGACGCTCATGTGACACATGGAAGAGTCCCACTTCAATGACCCCAGCCATCTGGAACAATGTATCTGAAACTAGTACCTTCTGAAATCAGGTCATATTTATTATCTGCTGCAAAGGACTTCTTTAAAGTGCTAAAAAGCAAAGATGTCACTTTGAGGACTAAGGTGTACCTTGACCCAAGCCATGATGTTTTCAATAGTCGCATACGCATACGAAAGCTGGACAATGAAAAAGGAAGACCCAAGAATTGACACATTTGAATTGTGGTGTTGGCGAAGAATATTGAATATACCAAGGATTGTCAGAAGAGCAAACAAACAAACAAGTCACAGTGCAGATATTTTCACTCCTGATTTATAATTAGCTGCTTTAAGCATCAAAGTGAACACATTACACAGATAGAAAAGAAAGTAACTAACAGAAGTCAAGCAAGAAATAAAAAGCTGTTACCAGAAAAGACTATTTTTTATGTGAGATTATTAAATAACTGAATAATAATTTTAAATAAAGAAATATAATAACAACAACAATAATAACCACCATCTCTTGAGTCCTTTCTATGCTCCAGGCACTGTGCATTGCTTTACTTAATCCTCACAACAGTCCTGTGAGGTAGGCAGTGTTCCACCTAACTAGCAGATGGGAAATTGAGGCTCAGAGAGGTCAAGTAGCTTATCCAAGGAATACACAGTAGCAAATGCTGTGACCGAAATTCAAACCCAGGTTTTTCTGACCCCAGAGCTTATTCTCTTCATCACTATGAATAATTGATATTGATTGACTAAAACTAAAGCTTGCCATGGATAAATATTGATTAAATACAACTATAAAAACAAGACAAAAGACCTGTTGCCGTCGAGTCGACTCTGCCCCACAGGGTTTCCAAGGCTGTGATCTTTATAGAAGCAGACTGCCACATCTTTCTCCCACAGAGTAGCAAGTGGGTTTGAAGAGCTGAACTTTCGGTTCGTGCCAAGCGCTTAACCACTGTGCCACCAGGGGTGCTTTGGCACCTGCTACAAAGTGTTTTTTCTCAGCGCCATCCTGGGATCCTCCATGCTCCGCAGAGAAACCCAGGAAGTGAGTAGTGCCATGTCTTCTTTTCGAAACCAGTCTGAATTGTGTCTTTCAGCCTTCCTGCATCCTGAGAACAGCAAGCTTCAAAAGCCTGGAATATGATCAAGCAGAAGACTGTCGTGGGGGATAAAACGGGAATAGTAAAGCAAGGAAGAGGCATGGGTGATCAGGGCTAGAAAGTGGGCACCTAGATCAAGACAAAGCTCAGACGTGAACCCTCTTCTCGCCTGGGCTCTGGTTACCTCTTTTGGTCATCATGGGTATTAAAAACTGTGATCACAGTGATGGGGAGGTTGGGGAGAATTTATTTCTATGGGTTTCAGAGGCACTGTGCTTAGTACCTTACATATTTTATTTAACCCTCAGAACAACCCTATGCAGTTGATATGCTTATCCTTGTTCCTCAGATGAGGAAGTTGAGGTCCAGTCAGGTTAAGTAACTTGACCAAACTCACACAGCTAGCAAGTAGGGCTTCCAACTCATAGCTCTCTACTTTGAAAGTTCATGCTCAAAGCCACTCGGAGCTGAACCCTCGTAATAGCTACCTAGAACGTTATCAGGCTTTATCACTAAGAGACACAGTTGAGGTGATCTAGCCCAGCGCTGTCCAGTGGAAATATAATGTGAGCCATATAAGCAATTTTAAATCTTTTAGTAGCCACATTATAAAAAGTTAAAAAAAAGATGAAAATAATTTTAATAATATAATAATACATTTTATTTAACCTAATATATCTAAAATATTATCACTTTAGCAAGTAATCAATATGAAAAATTATTGAGATATTTTACAGTCTCTTTTTCATACTAAGTCTTTGAAATATGGCATGTGTTTTATACTTACAGCATATCTCAATTTGGATGCTAAATTTTCAACAAAGTGGGAATATCTTGTGTTGTTGTTAGGTGCTGCGGAGTCGTTTCAACTCACAGCAACCCCATGTGACAGAGTAGAACTGTCCCATAGAGTTTCCTGGACTGTAATCTTTACAGAAGCAGATTGCCAGGTCTTTCTCCTGCAGAGCCACTGGGTGGGTTCGAACCACTGACCTTTCAGTCAGCAGCCGAGCGCTTAACCATTGCACCATCAGGACTCTTTAAGTGAAATAGTCCTACCAAAACAATAAAGTTGTGTTTAATGGGAAACTAGTTGTTTACACTGCTTTAGTTTCTATTTAACTTTAAATAAAATTAAAAATTCAGTTCCTCAATCACACTAGCCATATTTCAAAGGCTCAGTAACCACATGTGGCTGGTGGCTATTGGACAGTGTAGATCTAGACC